AGGAAGTTTCACTGACCTTCCCTCTCTTGGGATAACAGCCCCACACAAAGACAGCACGCATTTGCAGAACCTAATTATCATTTGTACAGTGAGTGTATGAGTTACAGGGCTGGCTGCAACCCCAGAACAAGGGTGTTGAGATGCCACCAGTGCTGTGACTTCATTGATGTGCCGTATCAGAAGATCTCACTGGGCATGGCAGGGAGAGGGAAGTGTAGCTGCTGGTCCTCTTTATGCCATTTTTGAGGTACTGAAACCAGGGCTGCCAGGGCTAGGATGGTGCTGAGAGAGGGGGACAGTGGGGGGTTGGGGGCTGTCTTCCTTTGCCTGCACCTGGATGGGCAGGAGAGACTAAGGGAAAATGTTCTTGAGCCATCAGTTATGATGCTGATCCTCACCACAACACTCTCCTGACCCCACATCCTGTTTACAAACTTGGGTCTCGAAAGAAGTTTTGGGTACCTCTTTCTTTTGTTCTCTCTGTTGCACTGATGTCCAAGGACCCCTGTTTCATTCTGCAGCCTCTTCCCTGCAGGTACACTGTGAGCCATCAGTGCCATGCTCAGCTTGAGAGCCATCCCTACAGCCTGCCACATGGTTTCTGTTGTCCTATCCCTCCAGGAGACTGTGGGAGTCCCTGCTGTTCGGTTGGGGTGCAGGCAGGGAATGAGAGTCCTGTTCCCTCCTACGCAGGCCCTTCCAGGCTCTCACACTCTGCTTTCCTGAGCAGGGACCCCAAGAGCAGTGAGCAGGAGACCTTTGAGTACCAGGTCACAGAGTGCACTGCATGTGACCCGCTGTGTGTCAGGACCAATGACCTCCCCTGCCTCTTCCTGGATACCAGCCGCCTGGATGGAGCCTGCACCATGCATGTGAGGGCCGCGGCACACCACGGGGGTTCAGAGACACGTACTTCACCTTTCCAAGTATGTTGCAAAAGACCATGGCCTCACAGATGATAAAGTATATGTTCCTGGTAAGAAGGCAGAAGAAAACCTTTCCCTTCCCTTGCAGCATAATGAGCTTGGGAGCTGTGCTTGAAGCGGGTCTCGTCCTTCGAAGGATCCCATCATCTCTGTGTTACGAATATCAGTCTGGCATACCCTATAGTCAGGACAC